TAGAAATAAAACTTATTATTATTATTATTATTATTATTATTATTATGCCTCAGGCGGCATCTGCACTGCAGGGATAATGCAGTTTGACGCAGCTTTAATTGGCGTGGCTCAATGCTATGGAATTCTGGAACCTGTCATTTGGTGAGATATTTCGCCTTCTCTGTCAGAGAGCTCTGGTGCCACAACAAACTACAAATCCCAGGATTCCATAGGATGTAGCCATGCCGGTTAAAGCAGTGTCAAACCGCATTAATTCTGCAGTGTGTCCACAGTCAGAGACCTCACCACTCTCAGAGGCAGTGTATTCCACCGTCAAACAGCTCTTACCATCAAATGCCTAAACTGTATTTCAAAGTGTTTGGCTAAAGTTTTAAGTTGCTGTAATGCTAGAAATTAGGGGACTGAAGGAACATTTCAACTGGGGAGCAGGGTTCTTATTTTGTGGGACAATACCCTCATTTGACTTCTGTGATGGACCAATTGCCCTGCATCTGGGATATGGGGACTGTGTAGGGCAGGGGTAGGCAACCTTTCCCCTTTAAGGGCCAAGGGACTTCAGCTCCCAGAATCCCAGGAGCTATTGGCCAACATGGGACTATTGGCCAACATGGCTGAGGCTTCTGGGAGCTGAAGTCCCTTGGCCCTTAAAGGGGAAAGGTTGCCTACCCCTGATGTAGGGAATAAGGGCCAATTTCATCCCCACAACCTCCCCAGAGGTGCATCCAAACACACCAGAAGCAACATCACATGACTTTGAAGGTATACAGTCCATGCAATACAGTGGGCCCTCTACATTTGCTGGAGTCAGGGGCACAGGACCCCAATGAAAGTGGAAAAAAAACGTAAATAATAAACCACTATGTTTTTAGCAATAGTATGTAGTACAGTATATTTCAATACAATTTATCAGTGAACTCAGCACTCTCTAAGCCACAGGTTGGCAACCTATGGCCAGCGGGCCGCACCCGGCCCGCCGACCGGCCCCTGCCTGGTCCTGCCGCCGCCGCCGCCTTTCAGGGCCGCGGGGGTCCTCCAGGGCGCCATTTTGTGTTCCAAAATGGCGCCCGGAGTCTGGCGTGAACTTTCCTGTCCTGCCCTGCAACGGGAAAGATCACGCGAGACTCTGGGCCCCAAAGGACCCCCACAGCCGCACTGGGCCTCTCTGAGGCCCGCCGCAGTCGAGGGAGCCCTCCTGGGGGACCCACGCAGCCACCAAAATGGCGCCCCCCCATCGTGCGCATGCATGCCTGACGCAGAGCGCCATTTCGGTTTCCAAAATGGCACTCCCCCATGCATGCACGCATGCGCACGACGGTGGGAGTCATGTGCATGCGCGCACCAGCCCCCAGTGCTGTTCCCCCCCGGCCCGCCGGTAAAAAAGGTTGCCGACCCCTGCTCTAAGCAGTTTACAAGGAGTTAGCCATTGCCCCCAACAAACCGGGTCCTCATTTTAGCAACCTACAAAAGGATGGAAAGCTGAGTCAACCCTGGAGCCGTGCAGGGATCGAACTCACAACCTTGTGGCGGCAGTAACCGGCATTTGACCACTGCATCACCAAGGCTCCTTTTTACCTGAGAGAACACTTCTCTAGGAATCTCTACGTTCTCCAACACAACACTATGGTCAACATCTGCCAGAGGTAGACCATAGAGCCACACTAGAGGACCTACAAGTGCCTAGACAAGTGTTTTGTCCAGTAATGTCTAAGTCCTCCAGTAAAACTCTATGGGCAATTTCCAGCAGACTTGCGCCAGAGGACCTAGGCCAGGGGTAGGCAACCTTTCCCCTTTAAGGGCCGAGGGACTTCAGCTCCCAGAAGCCTCAGCCATGTTGGCCAATAGTCCCATGTTGGCCAATAGCTCCTGGGATTCTGGGAGCTGAAGTCCCTCGGCCCTTAAAGGGGAAAGGTTGCCTACCCCTGAGTCCTAGGCATTCCTACTGAGAACATATTAATCAAATCCACAAATAATCAGATCCACAAAAGTCAAAGCCACCAATGGGGAGGGCCGACTGTACCTTGATAAAATCAGGACTCCGGCTTTGCCCAACAAACGCCACGCCACCGACTCAGCGGTCCTCTTGTCGGCTTCCAACGTCTCTTCTTGCATCAGGATGAAGATCAGAGGAAGGCCCAGGTGAGTGTGAACTGTTGAAATCCTTTCTGGGTCTCCAGAAACTTCCACCTGCAAAAGAGAGGTTGTTTTTTGGCTGCATCACCAAATCCACCTCAACTTTCTTGAGGTAGCCCTGGGGCCATTTTCATTTGGGCACAGTCAAGAGCGGCAAAGAGCAAAGGAGACTTTCCAAAAACCAGTTCAGGGCCTGGTAACAGCTGGTCTAAAGACCAAGGTTGGCTGGTTTAAACCAGCTTGGTTTAAACTATGGTTAAACCAAGCTTGTTTTAAACTATAGTTTAAACCAGGGATAGGTAACCTTTCCCCTTTAAGGGCCGAGGGACTTCAATTCCCAGAATCCCAGGAGCTATTGGCCAACATGGGACTATTGGCCAACATGGCTGAGGCTTCTGGGAGCTGAAGTCCCTCGGCCCTTAAAGGGGAAAGGTTGCCTACCCCTGGTTTAAACCAAGTTTGTTTTAAACTATGGTTTAAACCAAACTGGTTTTAAACGATGGTTTAAATCAAGCTTGTTTTAAACCATGGTTTAAACCAAGCTTGTTTTCAACCATAGTTTAAACCAAGCTTGTTTTAAACCACAGCTTAAACCAAGCTTGGTTTAAACCAGGGGTAGGCAACCTTTTTGAGCCGGGGGCCGGGTTGCTGTCCCTCAGACAATTGGGGGGGGGGGGGGGCGAAGCAATAAATAAATAAATAAATAAAAAATAATTTTTTTTAAAGCACATTCTCTCAGCCCCAGAAAAGCCATGATGGCAAAACCCCTGTGGAGATTTTGCCAAGAAAACCCCAAGAACAAGTAATAACAACAATAATCAATATCATCATGGCGGGTGTCGGCAGGCGTCGGTGGGGGTCAGCAGCGTCGGCGTCCGTGGTACGGTCCAAAGGCCTCGGGGGGGCCGCATCCGGCCCCCGGGCCGTAGGTTGCCTATCCCTGGTTTAAACTATGACAGAGGGCCTTTACAGACTGGCAGAAATAATCCAGCTTGAGATCACATTAACTGTCCTGGCTCAATGCTAGGGAATCATGGGAATTGTAGTTCTTTCCGAGACATTGATCCTTCTCTGTCAGAGACCTCTGGTGCCACAATAAACAACAGTTCCCATGATTCCCTAGCACTGACCCAGGACGTTTAAAGTGGTCTCAAACTGGATTATTTCTGGCAGTCTGTAAAGGCCCTTACACCAGCTTGGTTTAAACCAGCCAACCCTGGTCTCTGTGGTTTAAATCAACCTGGTTTAAACTGTGGTTTAAACTTTAGTTTAAACAAAATGACTTTTAAAAAACATTCCTGTTTTTTAATATTGATTATTCATTTATTCATTTTAAAGTCTGGTTGCTATTACTATTTTTTTCAACCCTCTTACTGGAACAACAATGACTGCTTGAATTTAAACGTTTTAACTTTAATGGTTTATTGGCAGCTGTTGATTGTTAGACCAGTATCTAGTGTCAGTTGCTTCTTTTTCATCACTTTATTTGCAAGAAATAATACCTATCTAGCTATCTAACTATCTATTTATTTCCTGTCTCTCCTCAAGAACAGCGTGTTAAAATACAAAACATAGTTAAAAACACATAAACCCACAGTTAAAATACAGTACTATAAAACCATTAAAATAATCCACTCATAAAAGCATATATACAATTAAAATGCTATGCTTCAAAATTGACTGGATAGGCCTGCCAGAAGAGATATGAAATGCCATTAGAAAGAAATCTTTCCATTAAAATAAGTTCAATCAAAACAACTTGCATTAAAAGACTACTTTTTTTAGAACAATTATTATTTAAGCTAGAGCACATTTTGCTACTTAATTTTCTGATTTAGTCCTTTATAGGTATAGTCCTATACTCCTATTAATACTATTGTTTAATATTAATTTATTCTTATTTTCATCTATCTCTAAGAGTACTTTGTATGTTTTATTATGTATAGTCTTCATATATCCAGATTTAATAAAAACAGTAAGCAGGTATTTACTTTAAAGATATAAATCATATCAAAGCTTTTGGATAGTTAATCTTAGAAGTATTAATATATATATATATATATATATATATATATATATATAAATACATAAAATAATGTTTCACAGTATTAATGTAATAAACAGGATTAATTTTTTTCATTAAAACATTGATGCAAAAAATTGGGTAAAAATAAAGTTTAAATTTTAAAAAATGGGGTTTTTTTTTTGGTATTTTTAAAAAAACTGTTTTTCCCCCAAACCTGCCAGTGATCAGTAATATCCTTAAAATGTCTTTTGTCAGACTGACTTAACCAAAAAATAGCCAACTCTCTTTTAAAAACCATGACGTGATATTGTAATATTTTGCTGACCAGATTTCGGATTGTGTGAGAAAACACAGGGCTTGGCTACAGACCTGCCTTGAATCCCATTTTGGGAGAAAGTTGAGAATAAATCCAATAAATAAATAAAATAAAATAAAATAAATAAAATAAAATACAACAGGCTGCTCCTTTGCATCTAGTCTGAACTATTGTTCCTACCCAGATTCCCTTGGTCTGTGAGCACATACACACAACTTGGAAGAGTGGTTATTTTGGATGACAATTCCAAGAATCTGCCCCCTTCCTCTGCCAGCATGGCCATTAGGGGACTCTGGGAGTTGCAGTCCAAAAATAAAAATTCCCTCAAGATTTTTCCACTTGACGCAAATAACCTTCATTCATTCATTCATTCATTCATTCAATGCAATTCTACTCTCATATGCTGCAAAACCCCAGGTGCTAACAGCTTGCATGGAACAGGGGAGAAAAAGGAGGACCAGTGGATCTGGTTTTGGTTTCAGTTCAAACGTAAAGGTGGTCCCCAATATGCTGAATTCCTGGCTTCCTCAAATAGCCTTCAGCAGTCTCAGTAACTCTTTTCAAGTTCATACCGACGCCCAGAACACATTCAGTACCCTCTCACTGGCAAGTGTTACCCAAAACATAGGGGCAACTGGAAGATCCCCATCAACTTTATCAGCATCTTTAACTATCTGGGGAATTGATTAGCTCAAAGGATGCTTTGCGAGAGGCTGGGTAACTTGAGGATCCTTTTCACCTATGTATACCAGTACTAATGTGAGAAAATTCTGGATTCCATGAAATGAAGAAGACTTTATTTTGAAATCCAATACACTTGCACACACACACACATGAAAGCAATTCAAACATACACACACCATACAGAACTAACAGAAAGGAAATATGGATGTTGGATAGCAGAGGCTGAGGGTTGTTTGATGTTGCTGTGGACCTTCAAGTCGTTTCTGACTTATAGCAACCCTAAGGCAAATCTATCACATGGCTTTCTTGGCAAGATTTGTTCAGAGAAGGTTTGCTATTGCCTTCCCAAGGCTGAAAGAGTGCGACTTGCCTAAGGTAACCCAGTGGGTTTTATGGCTGAGCTGGGAATCGAACCCAGGATCTCCAGAATTGTAGTCCAACATGCAAACCACTACAGCAGGGCTGCAGAAGGGTAATATTTACCTGTCCTGAAGAGGAGACCACAGAAGCAGGCTATGGCTCAGACAAGGTCTGAGAGAGACAGAGTAAGCAAAGAAAACTCTCTGTGCACACAAGAGGCTAGAATTGGGGCTGATATTTATACCTGATATCTAGTCTTTGGGGATACTTGGTGGTATCTTGCAGTGTACCAAAGACCTGATGGTCTTCTCATGGAACCAACAATGGGATTCCAGAACAACTGATGGCCTTAACTTCAGATTAACAAAACAGTGAGTGGATTTGGGATAATCCCCAGACAGCTGGACAGGGAAGTAGGCTAGGAACATGGCAGAGGGTAGATAGGAAAACTGGCATACTAGTCTTGGTGCAATGTGACCTCCTTTGTCTCTTGGTGCAAGAGGATAAGCAGAGAAGCTGGAGGAGGATGGAGTGATCAGCAAACCCATTTAGGGGCTTTGCAGACCAGCCTAAAGGGCTGGCCTGGGGGTGGAGTTGGGGTGGAGCAGCCACTCACCGGCGCCATGACTCCATCCCAACCCCGTCCTGACGTTGCGCACCCGTATGTATGGCATGCGGAGTCAGGACACCCTCCTGGCACAGTGTGTACATACGCTGTGCCAAAAAGGTGCAGAAGAGCTGCAGCACCAGCTCTTAGGGTGGCCTTTTACCGCCCCTAAAAAGAGAAGCATTTTGCCACTCTTTTGGTGGTGGCAAAAGGGAAGATTTGGCCTGCGTCGTGAGGTTGCCACAGCCCCAATCCGCCGCTCCCTGAGGTGGCTCTGTGCTGCCCTAAACAGGCCATCTGCATCAGACCTTAACCTTTTTCTTGAAACTACCTAGATCCTCCATGTCTTTGGGGCTAGATTCCTTTCCCATGAGAAATTTCCCTGTTTCAAAGGTCATTGTGACCTCTTAAAACATGCTTGCATCTAGAAATGAATTATATGTAAATATGAAGAGCTCCATACACAATGTGGGGTTTCAGAGTATGCTAACACATAGAAGTCACCAGCCACCAAAGGAGTGAGGGAGAAGGGGGACAGAAAGTCACGGACATCATCCACCATACCACAAGAGGTTCCCCCATCAGCTTCAGGAACTTGTGGACGTTCAGCGTGGTCAGCAGCTGCTCCATTCGGGTTCTTCTGCACGGCTGGGATGGATCTGCATGCACCTTACAGTGGCAGAAAAAGAGCTGCGAAGATGGGATGTCAGGTTCTCCGTTGCTATTGGAAGAATGCACAAGAGGGTGGGTACAGTACTAGAGTTAAGCTCTGCTGCAGTTGGCTTGTCATTGCAATTTAGAATGTGGGTGCTATATGTCTCTTATTTAGGAAAAAAGTCTTTGCATCTGGGACAGTGCGTACCAGAACATAGGCCTCTCATACACACACACAGTGGGAACTACACATTTGGTAGGATAGGGACATAGAGCCCTTAGGAAAGTGAAAAACTGCAAATCAAATACCACTTTTTTTCATCTGACAGAACACTTCTCTATGAAGCTCTAGGTCAGCGGTTGGCAACCTACAGCCTGTGGGCTGGATCCAGCCCGCTGAGGCCTTGGGACCGGCCCATGGCCGGCCCTGCCGCCACTGCCACCGCCACCGCCACCGCGCGTGCGAGTGCAGGTGCCATTTTGGCGTCCAAAATGGCGCACGACAGAGGGCGCCATTTTCGAATGCCCAACGGCGCCGGCGTCATGTGCATTCACACAGCGCCAGCACCGTTGAGCATTTGAAAATGGCGCCCGCCGTTGTGCACGCATGCGGGCGCCATTTTGGAACGCCCAATGACACCAGCCTCCACGTGCACATGCATTTTGGTCTCAAAAATGGTGCCCCCCACATACGCATGCATGCACACGACGGTATCATTTCCCCCCCTCCCAGCCCGCCTGCAACAAAAGTTGCCGATCCCTGCGCTAAGTCTTCCAGCCAACATCTGGCAGAGTCGGGCTGGAGGACCTAGCGATTCCTACAGAGACCATATCAATCAAATCTGCAAAAGTCAACATCACAAAGGTGGAAGGCCAATTATATTTATGTGTGTGTGTGTGTTTTACTTCCTAGTTACATGAAAACTTGGGAAAGCTTTGTTGTTGTTTCCTCTCTACAACTTGTTTCCAACTTACAGTGACCCTAAGGAGAATCTATCATGGGATTTTCTTGGCAAAATTTGTCCAGAGGGGGTTTGCCTTTGCCCCTCTCTGAGGCTGAGAAAGTGTAGCTTGCCCAAGGCTACCCTGTGGATTTTCATGGCCAAACAGGGATTTAAACCCTGGTCATAGACCACAAACCACTACCCATACTAGCTCTTAAGATTTATTCAGAGGGGATTTGTCATTGCTTTCCTCTGAAGCTGAGAGAAAGTGACTTGCCCAAGGACACCCAGTAGATTTCTTTGGCTAAACAGGGATTCAAAGCCTGGTCTCCTGGAGTCCTAGTTCAACACTCAATCCACTCTCCCACATTGGCTTGGAAAAGTTGATTTTCCCAAAAAAAAGTAACCTTTCCAGGTTCTCACACTATCATTTTAGGTATCTGGCCAATACACCTTTGTCAAGAGCAATGTGCTGTGCTTTCTTGTTGCAACACTAAGTTGTTGTGTGAACCTCCCTCCCAGACTTAAGAGGCTCTTGAACCAGAAGAAAGAGAGAGGGACCATGATGAAGTCTTTCAGAGTGAGTTTATCTCCCTTAGCTTGTGCAGAAATAAGACAGTTTGACACCACTTTTAAATGTTATGACTCTATCCTTCAGCATCCCGGGATCTGTAGTTTGGTGAGGCATCAGAACTCTCTGACAGGCCAAGCAGAATACCCCACCAAACTACAAATCCCAGGATTCCACAAGTTGGAACCATTACAGTTAAGGTGGTGTCAAACTGCTTCTTTTTTTCTGAAGTGTGGAAGAACAGTGAGGAAGTCTTTTATGATTTGAAGAATATAAAACAGGGACTCGTCTGGTCTCCTAGAAATAATTTTGAATCACTGCGGGCAACCAAGCATGCAGTCAATTGCAAACCTAAGTTGGAGCGTTTTAGGATTTGACGGTGGTGAAGGGTTTTGGGGCATGTGGGGTTTGCGTCTGCAGGGCCCTGTCTGCTGAATACATACCGAATGCTCCTCAGAAGGGTCACTTCGGTGGTTAAGGCAAACTTAACGGAACCATAGACAAAAGCCGCCTCCATCACTACTCTGTGTTCTGGAAAGAGAGAAGTTTACTTTGCAATTTAATCTGGAATACTGAGTTGACTTATATATAGGTCAATACAGTAATACAGCTCAGAAAGAAGCACTAAAAGAAGCACTGCCCTGATGCCACACTCTCCCTGCCTCGGTAGTAATCTCTGAAAGAGGTGTCATAGAATCATAGAGTTGGAAGAGACCCCAAGGGACATCCAGTCCAACCCCATTCTGCCATGCAGGAACTCCCAATCAAAGCATCCCCGACAGACGGCCATCCAGACTCTGTTTAAAAACCTCCAAAGAAGGAGACTCCACCACACTCCACTGAGGGAGTGTCTCCTACTGTCAAACAACTCTTAGGAAGTTCCTCCTAATGTTGAGGTGGAATCTCTTTTCCTGG